TAGCTCCAAACATAAATCTGTATTTAGAGCTGTAAATTAATATACGAAAAAATGAAGTTTTAAATAGATTTTTTTTCTCATTACCAAATTTGTCTGTATGTCTTGCTTAAGCTATTTGGGACTTTCCAATGTATGGAGTTGTTTTAATTTAATCAATTTTTTTTCTTACTCTATTCCATTTTTTCGTCCATTTAGATTTTTTTATTCATTTCTTTTTTTTTCAAATTTTGGTCGCAAAATTATTTTCAAAATTTAATTTTTTTTTGCAACCGTTGAAGCGATTTTTCTGCCGAGCTCCGCTCGAGCTCTCTGAAGAACCTCTTTCCTTTTGATTATTTTTTTAATTTTTTTTAATTTAGCTTAATATTTTATTAAAATTAATTTTCTATAACTTTTGGATGTTCGTGGCACCAGGACTTAAGCCTGGACCTCTCGAATGTCAGTACGCAATGCTAATCACTCGGCCACCGAAGCTTCCATATTGTATTCCATTTTTCTTTTTCCCTAAATTGTTTCTCACATGCTAAATTGATATGTGAATATTTTAAATTTTATTTTAGCACTTTTTTTGCTCACCCTAAATAATTGAATATTCAACAAACTAGTTTTTTATGAATCGTCGGGGATTAAAAATAAAATATAAAAAGGAAGTGGTTGGGTTTTTTTTGTACAAAAAAAAAGGGAATAAAAATAAAATTTTCAAAAAATTTTATTGCATTCGAATTTTTATTTGGTGTGCCAAATCAGCTTTTATGTAAGTTTGATAATTTACAGATGAAATTTTTTTACAAATAGAATGTAATACAAATTTTTAAATTTTTTTCGTCAGCATTTAGTTGAGAAAGTGTAGCCCACAATTAGGATGTTATTAAAAAAAAAAAATTTAGGCACAATAGAAAAATAAATGCTACATTTTTGATGCAGTACTTCGTTAGAAGATAGATAAATTAGTTTGCTATAATTTTTATAGCTACTATTTTTTTTTACCTATTTTATTGGCTTTTTTTGGTATTACACGTTTTTGTTAATAAAAATTTCACACTTTTATAGAACAATAATCTTATAATAAAACACAGCAATTTATTAAAGTTCCTTTATATAATTACTTCAATTTATTAAAATACATATAAATTAAGTAAATATTTTTACATTAGTAAAATTATTTAAACTGCTGTTTACGTGTTTTTTAGGGTGTGCCATAACTAATTATAGCAATGAAACTTGAGAAAAGTTTGCGGTGCAACCACTATTTGGATTTTCAATAAAAATTTACTAAACATGTATATTTTGCGCTGTACTACAATTTGAAAGGGAGTTTAGACTCGTACTTATTTATTAAAGTGTATATTTTTATGTTGGAAAATTATTAATTGTCTTTTAGCATTTATTTTCGTAGTTTAAAATCACTTTCTAATAATAGAGGGCTATAAATTTGTGTCGTTAGGAAATTTGTTTTTTGCCATAATTTTATAGGAACTCAGTATTTTGCAATTGAGTGATATTTCTTGTTATTTTGGAGTTGCTTACGTGAAATTCAGACATTGTAAGAGTTACATGTCTTGCTATAATTTTATAGGAACTTTGTTAATTTACTTTTGTTAAATAAAATTCAAAAATTCAAGCCGTAAAGTACATTGCAAGTGCAGAAATTTCTGCTTTCAAAGAAACTTGTTTCGGCTTGATATATACAAATATGTACACATTATATATATACATATATATGTATATTTACAAAAATTTAGCAAAAATTTACGAAATTTTTTCGTTTTTTTTTCAATAACAATAGATTCAACAATGTGTTAAATAAATTTATTGCAAATATTTACATTGCAATTATGCTCAAATGGCACACACATAAAGAAATCTGCGTATTTCTACAAATGCGGTTGCTAATTTTTTGATTAAACTCAGGAGATTTTCTGGCTATAATACATTTCTTTTTAATTTTTTTCTTTTTAGGGGTGATGTCTAAGAATTATTTTAGCAATATTTCTCTATATGAAATCGTTAAAACTGTAAATTCAGCGCCTTTCCCACATTAAATTCTCATATCTGAGAAAAAAAAGGCAATGCGCCAATGATAATTTATCATAAAAGCGCTAAGAACTTTGCTGCTTGCTTAGTCTCTGCCACAAATGGTTTAGTCACTCAGTGTTTGACAGCAATTTTCACTTTGTATGCTTCAGTCACCTTCACACTCACTCACTCAGTCGTTCAGTCACTCATTTGCCTAGAGTCATTTGGTCTGAGATTATTGAATTTTTGTGCCCTTTTGGCTTGGCTTTCGCCTTTTTTCTATTTTTATAATACCTACAACTATCACAAATTTGTATTGCTTTAGTTTTCTTTATGCACACATTGTAAAATAAAATTTTATTTGTTTATTACTTTCCGCTTACTCATAGTCACTAAACTAATGATGATTGTAAGGTTTTCTGATTAATTATATGAGGCAAAAAAATTTCGTTGGTAGCTACATATATATAATAGAAATATTAGAAAATCGACGCACAGGATTCGGTTGTGCTTACCTAATTAGAAAAAGATGTAAAGAAAAATTAGTAAGGCGTTATTTTGGCTTAAAAGGATAATATTTCGAAACAAAAGTGCAAATAATAATTTCATACGCTGTTATTTTCTTTTAAAAGGGTGCTATAAAGTTATAGGAACTTTTATTTGTTGCGAATGAGCGTAGATATATACCAAAAATATGCTGTGGTGAAATCGTCTACGTTTTCCACTTAACTAAATTTGCTATAATTTTATAGCTGAGTCAACCAACGCAAGTTAACCAGAAATGCTAACATAAACGGAAAACAAAGGAAATGATGTGGTTTTGATATGTATTTCAGTTTGCTATAAATATTATAGGAACTCTCAAAAGTTGCTAAAATTGATACCAGAATATTATACTTCCTGAGTGTAAAGAACATGTTTCCAAAAATATTTTGTAAATAGAATACCATAACAGTTATTTAAACATCATACATGGGACCTTGAAAAATTACAAAAACAAATTTTAGTTTAGTTTATATATGTATGTGTATTTGTTCGATCTTCTCCTTAATTGCCTTCTTCTTCCTGCTAATTATTTTTAAATAAATATTTGTTTATACTGGAGAAAAAAAGAAAAATTTTGCGCTCTAGCATTTGTACGCACTCACAACTTAACGGTAATCGAATTTTGAGTTAAATACAACCACTTAGAAATCTAATATTTACAACTCAAGGGTATGCGTAAACAAGTAAGTATGTATGCATGTAAGCAAGTACGTAAAATAAACAGTAAATTCAATATTTCTCATTATTGCTCTAAGCGTCTTGAACTGAACGGCCGCATATAAATATGCATGTACATTTTAGTATATGTATGTATACATATGTTTAATGGGTTTGTTTCTGTTTTTTGTTCATTTTTTTTTTTGTGTTTTACACTTCAAATATTTGCCTTATCGTCTGCTCCAAAAAAAATTGTATAAAACCACAAAAAAGTGAAAATGAAACATATGAAAAACTTTTTGTTGTTTTTGCTTGTTCATTTTTCGTTTCTTAACTTTAGTCTGCGTCATTTTACCAGAGCGAACGAAAACCTCATGTATCTACGCAATGTGCGTGTTTTCTTATATGTCGATATGTGTTACAATAACAATGATATGTACATATGTATATACATGTACATGTGTTTATAAACATCTCAATACATACGTGTATGCTTATATTTAATATTCGCTAACTCGCTTGCCTGCCTCAGAGTTCAAACTATAGCTCCACAACAACAAACTTGCAAGCATGCAAAAAAAAAAAAAGCTAACCAATAACCAAACAAAGCAAAAATATGTAAAATACCGCAGAGAGGCTTCATGAAAATACATATGTACATACAAACTTTTGTATCTTTGCAGATACGCGATACGGTGCACGTTGTACATATGTACATATCTTTACCAAGCAGACACTCCAGCCTGTCGGTCAGCAAAGCCAATGTGGAACTGTTTGTCTGCGTACAGAGTTTTTGCACACTTTTTTATATTTATTTGGCTGCTCCTTCAGCTTCAAACAGCTTTACGCAATATTCTTATTGACTTCTTTGAATTTAGTATGTACGCTGCGTGTGAAGCTGTGAGTGAGTGGGTAATTTTGGGAATTGATTTTTCACAATCTATGTTATTGTATATATGTATATAGAGAAAAATTTAAAAAATTATGTTTTTATATATATATTTATATGAATAAAAAAATAAATCAAAGGAAATAAAATAATATAAAAGAAAAGAAAATAATAAAATAAAAGAAAAAAATTAAATAGAACTAAATATAAAAAAATTAAATAAGGTAAAATAAAATATTTTAAAATAAAATAAAATGAAATAAAATAAAATAAAATAAAATAAAATAAAATAATATAAAATAATATAAAATAAAATAAAATAAATTAAAATAAAATAAAATGATATAAAATTAAATGCAATGAAGAAAGTAAAAAAAAATAGAAATAAAGTAAGATAAAATTAAATTAAATTAAATTGGATAAAATAAGATAAAGTCATTTAAAATAAGTTAAATGATATTTAATGGAAATTAATTCAAATTATTTGCATTAAAAAAAGTTTATAAAAGAATTATTTTGGATATTGTAGTTGTTCAGGGTTGAGATCTTTACAGGGCTAACGCGGTTTTCTAAATGGATTATTCTCACATGAGAGGTTTTAATCGGAAACTTTAATGTCCATAAAAAATTACGAAGAGTCCTCTTGGAGGTTCAGAAAAAAATATCTTTGAATTTCCTTAAACGAAATCACACAGAAAGGCATACACTCACACACATAAATTTAAGAGCGATCTTAATAATTACTTATTTGACCTGATTTAAGTTTTTATTATTAATTTTATGCATGAATTTTTATCTTAGAATATTATGAACATATGTTTTTTTTTTTTTGGCTTAGTTCCACAAAACTTCGCTTCAATTATTGCACGAATTTCTAAATTTAAATATTTACCTTATTCTCAAAGAAATTATCGATTGTAGTGTTATTTTCTTGTACAATTCTCTTTACAGCTGTTGTCTTGCCATACGCTTATTATTGCTGCTCTTGCTGTTGGTGTTGTTGTTGTTGTTGTTTATTTGTCATAAATATGTTATTGTTGCGGTTTGCTTGCATTTTTGTTTGCTGCTTGTTGCACGAGAAAAATGAGATCGGCGTCATATGCACAATGATCGCGAAAATTTGTTGTTGTTACTCTGCGATTTTACTTTTCTTTTTTACAATATATAATTTTATCGCGGTGACGAACGTGTTCACTTGTTCGGCGCGTTGTATGTAGTTAAGTAGAAATACATACATACATACATATATCAACAACTTATATACAAAACACTCTACATGTACATAATTATGTGTGTGTGTTGTTTTGTATGTTTGTTTTGCTTTTTACACTTTTCTTACTCGCAGAATGTAATAATATAATAGTAAAGATCTTTTTATTCTTGCTTATTATTACTATTATTACTGTTATTTTTGCTTTTGTTTACTCCTTTTTTAATATTTCTCACACTGGTTTTGCTGCTTTTCTAGCGCCGATTTTTTGTGTTTACAATTTCTAAATATATTTTTTTTTTGTTGTTTTCAGTAACACTGGGACACTTTTTAGTATGTATGTAGGTATATAGGTAGATATATTCTAGCTTTATACTATACTTTTCTGTTTTTCTGTGATTTATTTTGTCACTTTACACTTTTGTTTTCGTAATATTTTTTTTATTTTTTGTTTTTGTTTTGCTGAACTTTCACAATTTATTTATTTTTTGCACTGCTGTAAACAATGTTGGTACTGTAATTATAGAAAACATTATTTCGAAATTAATTCACGAATTTGGGATTACTTATTTTAAAGCCTTCAATTAAAATGTGTATGATAAATTGAGTTTTTGTTTATTTTTACCTATAACTTCAGATTTTTTTTAATAAAAAAGTTCTCAATAAATTAAAAAGTAATGAAAATAATAAAAAATTTAAAATTATAAATAAAAAATAAAAAATAATAATAGTAATATATTGAAAGGTAATTAATAAAATTATTTATTAATATATTTATGTTTATAAGTATTTGAAATTTTTTTTAAAAAATTTATGTGCATTCACTTTTTACAAAGCAAAAAAACTTCAATAATTCGCAAACATTTTTTCCTTGTATCTTTTTCTACAGAAGAATTCTATAGAATAATATTTAAAATTAATAAATAATATTTTTATAACTAAAATATGCTAAAAGAAATTATAAAAGAAATTGTAAAAAAAATTATTAAAAAAAAAATATAAAAAAAATTTCAAGTTATACCGAAGATATCACCGAAAAGTTATGAATTTTATTTTTATTTATTCCTTTTTTTATCTGTCAAACACACACAGTGATATATTCTTATTTTTATCGAATAACAAACCAGATATAAAAACAAATAAAGTAATAAAATTGTTATAATAAAAAAATATATTCATATGCATAAGTATATACATATATGTTGATAAAGATACATTTCTTAAATTTCTCAATATATTTACTTGCAATTGGGTTTTTTCTATTTGCTTGCAGTTTTCTTTGGAAAAATCTTCAAAAAATCATTTTTAAAGTCTTAAACAGAAAATTTTTTAATTTAATTTTTTTATTACAAAAACATTTTTTATTAAACTTTCCGCTGTGGTGTAACTTTTTTCGAATATGCTTTTTTTTCATAAAACATCTATGAAGAATTAATGAAGAATATTACACACTTGACTGAACTTAAAGTAAACACCAGGGGGCTTAACTGATTTCGGGTTGTTTGCGATGGTCTTGGCAATTATTTGGAGCTCAAGCTTATTTGCTTCAAAAATAAAATAAAATTTCGTCTATAAACTTCGTATGGTCAAAAAAACGTGGTCTGTTATAAGCGCGTTAGGTCTATTTCTGGACCTACAGGAGCCATTGGCAGGAAGGCCTTTAGTCTCGAACCAAGACAGATTCTGTTGTGCCTTAAATATTGCGTCCTGAGCACTATGTGAACCAGTTTTCAACAAAATATCTCACGCGCTAGCTGAGTGTGCAAGGCTATGCAGGGACGGACGGATAGACGGACGCACAGAGAGATATGGAAAAATCGGTTCTCCTCGTTATATTACAAATACGATTTGTTAAATGTATAAAGTCTATATCTACCTCACTAAATTTATGCCGTGACGTGCAATCGTTAGCTTAATAAGCCTTATATACTCGCCGTACATAATACAGTCCAGTTTAATTCAAGTGACCAAATTTCAAAACTGTATTAATATTAGTAAAAAAAAACAATATTCCTGCTATTTGGCTAAGCTAGAAATTATTAAATATTAAATATTTTAAACCTTTTTTGAACTTTGTCTTTATTTATTTTTCTTTTTACTTCAATTGTTTTATTAACTTTTATTTTCACTTAAAATTTATTTATTTTTTTTAATTCATTTAAAATTTTTTTTTAATATTTTTATTTTGATTTAGCTTAGTTGTGTTCTAAGAGGTTATGAAATCTTTCTACTTTACGCTTAATAATTTTATAAGTTTACATATATGTGAGTATATTTTTCAATGTGTTTATACGTTAATTATAATTAATTAATTTATAATTAATTTCAAAATTAACGCCTTTCATTTATTTTTACTTTTTTTCGGGAATTTAGGCCATTAAGTTAATTTCGGTATTTAATAGAGTGTATATTTAGGTATGTACGCGTAAGTGAGGTTTATCAAAAATTTCAATTGAAAATAAATAATTTTTATTTTATTTTTATTTCATTATTAAATTTAATTGAAATAATAACAATTTCAGTTATAATATAAACTGAAATTTTTTTTAATTAAATTAATTTGTTTTTTTTTTGAGCGCAGTTGAATTTTATAAACTTTTTAGAATTTTTGCAAATATTAAAGACATTCAATAACTAGAATAACTACACTCTTTTATGCTTTATTAACTAATATTTAATTATTTTTTCGTTTTATACGATTAAGTTATTTTTTTGTTTAATAAAAAAACCTATATACAATATTAAAACAATTTGTTTTCTAATAGATGCGAAAATTTAACCAAAAATTACATATACTTATTGAAATTAAATTATTATTTTCACTCAGTAGAATTCAACCAGAATTAACTTATTTATTTTCGGCATAAGAAAATTTAATTTTCACTCACTGAATTTATTTTAAAACTTAATTTATTAATAAATGCAAACAAAAAAAAATGTATAATATTATTCGTTTCAAAAACTGCTTATTGGCAGAGTTTCGAATTTTTTATGTAATAAATAATTTAACATCAGTTTAGTTGCGATTTTTTGGTTTGAAAATAATTATATTTTTAAATTTTTATTTATTTCAAAAAACTTTTAGTTTAATATAAAAAAAAATTGTTTTTAATTTTTGTTTGACTAAAGAAATGTTCACAATTTTTTCCGTTATGAAAAGGTTTTTGTTTATGCTAATTGTTGCCATTGTTGATATGACGAGAAATAAAATAGAAAATAAAAACAATAAATAAGTCTTGATGCAAAGTACGATTTTTAGGCTTAACATTTTTAAATAATTTTTTTGCTATTTCAGTTAAATAAAAAAAAATAACAGATTGACAAAATGTTTAAGTAATAGGTATCAATATAAAATATTTAAATAATAAAAATTAAAATATTTTGGTTCAAGTGTTTTCAATTAAAAAAATTACTTCCTTCAGAAAATTATTTAAATTGTGTTGTTTTTATACAAAAAAAAATTTGCCAATAACAATAATACGATTTTCCAGCTTCAAAAAAGAGAATAATATACATTTCCTTCTCAATATTTTTTCTTAGCTTTAAACTCACCACTGACTCTAGCACTTAAGTTGAGATTAATTAGAAAAAAATTAGTTCAATATGTATCGTATTGGGGATTCCATGTGAAAAAATTTAGGGGATTTAGTGGAAAATATATCGAAATTTTTTTGTTTTTTATTAAAAAACATTTTCACATCTTCAAAAAGCACAAAATTTTAATAAAAATTCTTAATCGGTCCAAATGTTATTAAACAATTTTTTTTCGCAAAAATAAATTTTTAAAATTTTTTAATTTAATTTAAATTTTTTTTCTATCCGGAAAACTTTTTGAAAATGTAAAAAAAAAAAATATATATTTCTCTCTCAGCTTGGTAATTAATTTGATAAAGATTGGCATTTTACAAGTGAAAACAAGTTAAAGAGAAGTACAATATTTTTCAATAAAAAAACTTCTTGACGAAATTTTCACTTTATAGCTTGATGCAAATGAATGAATGCAATGAAGTCCAAAATGCTAATATTTTATTTTAGTTAAAAATTTGAACTTAAATTTTTTCTATTAAAAATTTTAGTTTTTAAAATTTTTCGTGCATAAAAATTTTGGATTTAGATATTTTCTCAACAAAAAGAAATTATATTTGTCCACTATGAGCTAGAATGTATAAAAATATATTTAAGTATTTATTTTTTAATTTATGTAAGTAAAAGCTTAGTGTCACTAAAGCACAAAAACGTGTGCACATTTTTGGACGAAAAAACAGCTAAACAAATTTGCATAGAACTACAATTGTTTAGGTTTATTACCGTTGTATAGAAAAAATTAGCGTTTAGCCGGTTTGTATATTTTAGGTTTATTGTAATTTTCTTAATTTTTTTCGTTTTTACTGAGCGTTAACGCAATAAAAAATCGCAAGCGTTTGAGTGTTGCTGTTTGTTTTGTATTTTTTTTTTTTTTGCACAAACTAAGAAACTAATTATTTAAATTCACTCTTACTTTTTTGTTTCTCACCTTTTTTTTTTTTTGAAACAGATAACGATTTAAAAGCAATTTTTTTTGTATAAACTGTTAAAAATTAAACAAGATTTTATTTTTATTTTTTTATAGAAATTTCACTGAAATTACGATCTCTGGAAAATCGAAACGCGCGCGCGATTTCTAAACTTCACATTTATTTGTTTATTTCATGGTCTTTTTTACGTATGTACATGTGTATATATGTGTACATATGTATGTACTTTTATTTATACGTTTATTTGTATATTTATTTATTTTACGCTTCCGATACACGGCGGCGGCACGAAAATTTCGTTTTTATTTACTTTAAACGCTTCGAGCGGCGTTCCAGCTAGCGAGTTGTTGAGTTCACTTTGTGTTGGAGGAGCTGGCAAGCTAAAAAAAAATCTTTTGTTTTTCAGCAAAAATTTCGTGCAACACTACAGCTGGCGCGTTTGGAGCGACTTTATCTGCTGGCGTATACGTATATATATATGTATGTACGCATGTATATTTTTCTTGCCACTTTCTTGTTAACTTGCCGTGTTTGCAACAACAACAACTGCCGCTATTGGTTAATATTTTTTGTTTTTAATTTCACGAAATAAACAAACGCGGCGGGAGATTTATTTTTCGGGGGGGGGGGGGGGAGGACACTCAAGCGGGCGCTGATAGTAGAAGCGAAGCGTTCAAATATAAATTCAATATTTTTTATTAAATTATTAATTTTGCTTTTATGAGAGAAATTTTTATTATACTTTTCTTTGCTTTTATCGGCTGAATTTTAATTGCTTTACTTCTCAATTCACACAAATATTTCACACGACGAGAACGCTACAAATACGCAAAAAGCTGTGCAGTGCTCGGCGCCTGTTCACAGACTGAATTCATGTGCGGCAGCAGCGCGGCGGATTGGGCAGCATGCAGTAAGCAGGCAAGCAAGGAAACAGAGACGATACCAGCAAACTAGCTGCCAGTCAAGGGAGCAAACAGCAAACGAATGCTCAGTGCGCTCTCCAATAGCCAGACATACAACGCTGGCGACTGCAACGAGTGAGCGAGCATTGTACGAAGAGTCAACGAATAGCCAACCAGCCGGTGCGCTATGCTCGTACCTACCACTAGTCGGCTGACTTGTTGGCTGGTTGGCAGTGACAGCGAGGCGGTGAAGTTAACGTTTTTTGTTTTTAGCCCCAAGCAAACGAGACTTCAAAGAAATGCAGTCGACGAGCCGAGGAAGACGTCGACAGCACGTATGGATCTCCGCCGCCGGTCAATGGCAAGCGAGCAGAGCCAGTAGGCAAGAAAACAAGCAGCTAGACCGCTAGCAGAGAACGTACCAAGACAGACGTTATGCGAGCAGTCAACGAAGAAGATATTGAGAACTGTGTAAATGAACTAGCAGGTAGTAAGGAAATAAGCAGAAAAATAAGCGCGAGTTCTATAAGACACACAGTAGACTACCAACTACCAGTGACAGCAAAACGAAGCAAAGCTCGAGTTGCTACAAACAAAACGACGTACTTGTCCAATAAACGTAGCTGCAGAGAGCCAAAATCCTCAAACGCTCATCATGCAGTCACCGTCGCTGTCAACGTATGCGCGCAATTCTTTGACTTCGTCTTCAAGCATATACTTCGTCATGCAGGCATGTGAGTATCTACAAGATAAGCGCCGTATACGGGCTAGATGGTTATTTGGTTTGGTCGTTGGGTCAGAGCTGGTTGGACGAATGGCTGTTTCGTCGGTTCAAGAGAGGAAGAGAGTGAGAGAGAGAGAGCGCCAGCAGCAAGACATAATGTTATACTCATTGGTAGTCTGCAGAGGTTCGTGTGCGTGGCGCTCTACTCATATGGCGGCCACGAGGAGTTAGTCAAGAAATCAGCTGTGTGGCGGTATGAGTATGTAGTTAAAGCTGTTTGTTGGAGACAAGCTGCGGGCAGCAAGCTGAGGAAAGAAACGTGATAACCAGTAAACGATAGGTTATGAATATGCCAAATCTTGAGAAACTCAAAGAACTAGAGCTGAGACTGCAAGTCGCAGGCCACATTTTTCAATGGTGAATACCAGTGAGTCACACTCTCTCACTCTCTTTGTATTTCAGTTTAACAGCGCATAAGACTAAAGTTAAAAAAAAAACATCAACAACAACATAAATAGTAATGTACCAACGGTAATGTAATGTATGAGGTAAGAAACAGTAAATTTTCTTCTAACTGTAATCTAATTAGATTTTGACATGCAGAGAGCACATGTGTGTGTGCGTGAGGAAGAAAAACAAAAAACACTGTTTAATAGGATTACATTTTCCAGCTGGATTGACAATGTGCAGCTAATAAAATAACAAAAACAAGTAAACATATGTTAAAGGGAAACCCCCTCTATTCACTTCAGGCCTGATACAAGCTTCTGAACATCAAACTGCTGCGTTGGCTTCGGTCAAGGTTTTGGGATCATTTAACATTGCTAGAACAAAATTTCTTAAAAAAAAGTAATATTTTTGTGTCATTTTTATATATATTAAAAAAAAAAAAACAATATTTAAAAATTTATATAACATATTAATTAGTTGCACAGTTTTTTTGAAGAACTCTTCATGTAATCTTATTTCTAAATTATTTTTCAATTTATTTTTATTTTATATTTTAGTTTTTTTCGTTTTATTTACTCTACTTTAATAATTGTTTTTTTTCTTTTGTGTTCGCTCGCAATTCAGCTTTGGTTTCACCTCTCTCTTACTCTCCCATACGCTCCTCTTTAACATAATTTTTACTTAAACGCAAACATATGTTTTTCTCCACAAATTATTTTGTTCAATCAAAAAGCAGCGAGTAGTCGAGGGCAAAGTCAGCGAGTAGTGTTTATATCCTTACCTTGAATGCTGTTAAATTATTGTCAACCTTTTAACAGTATTTTGTGTACTCTCTTAATTTACTAAGAGAGCTAGATTACTGTTATTTAGATTAAACTAACGGCTTTTTCATGGGTTAAACCAACTTCAGCTACCAAATACGAACTCTGCATCAAGTTAGGTTTAAGTTTTATGCACTAAAAGTTCAACTATGGTCTCGAAAAAAAGGAGACCAAAAGAGAAGAGTTGAAAAAAGTACTCAGAAAACTTTATTCTGAAACAATGTGGTTAATTTTCTTCCGAGAAAATTATAACTAACCAATGGACTGTGCAGACGTCAGCGGCCAAGTCCTTGGCCTTGCTTTTTCCCAAATGTAAATAAAAAATTTCAAAGTACGATCCCGAGAGATTACTACCGAATACCATTTACTATAAGAAAAGCATTGTAAGAAGCCATAAAGATCCATCAGTCCCTGCATCCTGATCCATGAAACCTGCTAATGTCACCAGAGCATCACTTCTACAGCGTAATGTCCATGCTAAACGTTAAGAAGCATAACGCTGCAACTTATACTGGGCTGCTACCATCGCTCTGCACCAGCAAACACCAAGTTTTAGATGCCAATCACCGAGAGTTTGTCAACACCTTTTTTGAACTTTCTTCGTGAACTCTCTTCCAGTAAACGCCGTTCTCGGAATACTATCACAACACATTGCAGACGAAGAGTTTGAGCCGACTTAATTGACTTAATTCCCATTTATACCGACTTGACCGCGATATAACCAAGGTACGTTCTACACTTAAAGAGAACCCGCATGAAACTAAGCACCTCTACCGTATCCTCTCACCTTTCCTTCTGCTCTGTAAGCCTCGAAACAACACGTTTCCTGAGCCTACAGTTAGATGCTACCGATGACGTAGACTTTTCTCACCTAACCTAAGCCTCATCTAAGCCGGGGGGTTGTTAAGGGTACTTGAAAACTTAAACAATATGCGCATAGCCATGTCCTAAGTCAACTCATCACACTTTTAAACAACAAATCAAGCTTTATTTTCTTCCTATTATAGACTTTAATAGTTACTTTCAGGTGAGTATACCCACTGGATGTGAATGGTAAGAGGGAAGAGAATACCAACCAAATCTACATCGCGGCACCAAAAATAGTCTGCAGATTGGATGTTAAATGTCGCTCAACTTTAAGCTGAAATTCTAGGTATAGAAAAGGTCCGTTGACTGCAAAAGAAGATCTATGTATTAGCAAGAGGGAGAAATGTGATGGGTTTCTTACACAAACGAACTTTGTTACTTATTATTGCGTAGCGTATTTGGCTCGATATGCAAACTCAATAGCGAGCCACTCACATTTGCGGGGCATGTCGCTAAAAGAAATCGAAAAAAATGCTCAAGTTCGGGCGATCGGTCCATAAAAGAAGATGGAGATTGGAAGAAGCTGTTGCGATTTTTGGCCGAGCTCCTGCTACAATTTGTGGTATGCGCTTTGATGTTTCTCCAACAAATGGAGAGACCTACCGTTCATTCTAAAGCCGCCACCGAAAGGCTGATGGATTTTCACTGAATTTTTAAGAGGCGGATTTTATTTCATATCGGTAATATATTTGGAGGATTTGACATTCCCTGTAGGAGGGCGACCGCAATTTGAAGAATTAGTTCTCTAAAATTTATGGAAAGCTGGTGAAATGAGTACTCGAACCCTAGTCTTCCGGATGTTTTTACATAATGCTAACCACTGGGCTATTGCGGCAGCCTGTGGCTTGGAAAAGCTAAAAGATCAACATGATTTTTCGAAAAAAGAGAAAAAAAATATTAACAATATGTGCAAGGACTAAAAATTAAAAAATAGAAAAAAAAAAATAAAAACAGATACAAAAATTCACTGAAAATAATTCTCAAAGCAAAAATATGTATAATTTGATAAACAATAAAAAATTGTATGTAAAATAATAAATAATAATTAAAAAATAAAAAATAAAATATTAAATAATTAAAAAATATATAAAAAAAAAATAAAATAAAAAATAAAAATAATTATATTAATTAAAAAAAAACAACGATAAGTGTTGCACCGAAAAGGCGATTTCGCAAAAATCGCAAATGAAGAAACTTAAAAGAAACTTAAC